CAAGATTTTTTTGTAATATTAAAAGCTGTAAAACGAGACTAAAATTAATATATAAAAGAATGTGTGTATAAAAGTACAGTCGAAATCGTTTATGACGACATATCGGTTACAACGACTTCCCCAAAGGTCCCGAGTCGTCCTTTATTTGTATCGTTTATAACAACATCCCGCTTATAGCGACCAATTTCGTCGCTAATTAAATAAATTATCCATTATTGAAGTCTTCTATAGATTTTCGCATAGAAATGTATATAATTAATTAATTATGGTTGCATTCAGAAAAAAATGAACAAAATATAATATGAAATATATGATCGAAATACATGGAATATTATTTTTGGTTCATTCCTGGATTTATTGTAAAATAAATTCCGGGGCCTTTGAAACTTTTCAGGGAATTTACTTGTAAAATAATTTGCGACAAAAGTTTCACTAATTTTCTTCATCAAAAATGTTGTCTATGGAAAATTATGGAAGACTTCTACAAAATTTTGAAGGACTTCTTCAGTTCTTCAAAGGACCTTCTTACGGAAGTCCTCAGAAGAAAAATTATGAAACATTTCTACAGGTTTTCTTGTCTTCAAAAGATATTCTTACAGAAGTCCTCAGAAGGAACATTTCTTATTGGAAGTATTTAAACAGTTCTCTTTTGGATAACTAAAAAAATCGGAAATAATAGGACAACATTTCCTGTAATAATAATATAGAACCAATGTTTAACATTTTATTCAAAATTTATTGTAAAATAAATCCAGGGCCATTGCAACCGGTCATTAATTGTTAACAACTAATTTTGTTCATAAACATTTATTCGAGTTTATTTTTTGGGGTATTTGACTTTATAAAGAACTCTAAGCGATTTTTTATTCCTAGCCTGATAAGGTAGAAAGGCCTTCATATAGAGGACCCCTTGAATTCTTCTATAGGATTGTCTAGATTTTAACCACATATCGGTCATTTGCTGCAAGACCGGCATAAAGAAAAAATCGTGATTTTTTAGTTAATTATAAAGAATTGTTCGCCATTTTAGACTGAGAAGCTGTAGTAATTTCTGCTCCTTGTAAGGTGAGTGAATTGAAAACTTAAAACGCCTTTTCTGCAAAATCAATTTTAAATTTTTTAATTAATAATATATTTGTTTAATTTTAATATATATTTTGTTTAATTTATTAATAATATATTTTTTTTAATTTAAGCCGTGCACTTATTCTACCTTTCTTAGAATAAAATAATTTTACAAAGGGTTCTGGAAAATATATATACTTTTTTCAGGCCCACGAATTTTTAAATTATATTCTCTACTTAAAGAAAATATAATTTGTTAATATTTTATAGAAAGATAATCTCTTTTTTGTTTGTTTATTTTTACTCTTAATTGTAGCTTAAAAGTAATATAAACAAAATATCGTGTTGATTAGTTAAGGGTTAGAGATATAGAAAAGTGTGAGATATCAGTCTATTACTCGATTTTTTTATGTAAGAGTTATAGTGATGTCAGAAAATATTCGAGATGAACTAAATACCATAAAAAAGGTCTAGAATCGAGGGGAATACAAATTTCCAAAAGGAACTGTTTCCATTTTCCATTCGTATTAATATCATATTTTTACATACAAAATATAAATTTCAATTTAAATCTTACTTAAAAGAATAAAGAAATAATTTAGATGCAGATAACATTTCATTGTGATTTCATAAAGAAATTCTAGCAAGAAAATAGCCGAACTGATACAAGAAATTGGGATTTGCTAGATTGAATGAAAGCAAATCAAGGGGGTTGCTTGATATATCCCATTTCATTAGTCTCTGTTTGGTCGATTATTTGATGGGTTTGGTAGGGTCTACTTGTAATAAATGAAGTACAGAAACTCCAAAATTGTCTAATGTCGTCGATCAAAATCAATTATTATTATTGGCTAAAAATAGATAATCTTACATCAAAACATGATAATAGGACGATGACTCTTGGTGATCATGCAACAGTTCCAAATATGAGAGTTATAAAATATAATTTTCTATGAAATGTATTCCACAATCATCAACAAATATGCCAAGCTTTTACCTACTCAAATTTAAGAGAGATATTTTCATTTGAATATTATTTCTAAAAATTCATAGTTCTTCTTAAAAAAATTAAAGCTTAAACCTTTAAACTAGAAAAAAATTATAATAACATTTTGTAAATGTTGTATTGCACACCACCACTAAGGTTGAAGCAGTAAATGGAAGTATTTAAATATTCGATATTGTCCGATAATCCAATGAACATTATTACAAATTAAAGTTTAATAAAATGTAGTTAGTAAAACAAATAATTTGTTTTCATCATAGGGATAGGGAAAAAATTCAATACTTGTAAATATATGCATGCCGTAAAAAACACAATAATTAGTTCTGATGTGCTCAATAGTACACGATTGATTTAATAAATGTTTTAACATTCCTTAAAAATTAAAAAAAATTCAAATCAGATATATTTCTTGTTGTTGGTAAAAATGTTCATAACTTCATTATTTCACTCATAAAAAATTAATATTTTTTAAGGAATTTTGATTCGTAAAAAGAGTTCAAAATATAACTACATCAATTTTAAAAATATTTTATAATAATACTTAGTTATAGTCAACAAAATTTAGATTTCTAACGAAGAAGACTTCTGTCTTGAACAATGTAAAAAACATTGCTTAAAACGTTTATTTTTAATAAAATATTGATCTTAATAAACAGATAAAATAGATTCATCATTAAGTGAAGATCAAATTACAAAAACATCTATCTAAATACAAAATATTTTCAATATTACACGAAACCATCCTAAAGAACGTTTTAAAATACTATTTACCTTTAATAAAAACATGTTTAGGTTTTCAATTCTTTCAAAAGTTTTGAAAAAATATATAATTTAAATATAAATAAAAAATAATTTATATAAAATTTATTCTTCATTATGTAGAGATCAAATATAAGCAAGCAATTTAAAATACAATTATTAGTTCCGAATTGCACCATATTAAATTGAACTATTCAATAAAAAAACTATTTTTCTTACATTTTCAAAAGAAAATTACAACTAAACTAGGGCTTCGAAGTAGAGTCTTTATTATTCTTATTGGAATAACAATTTGAATACAGTCCGACTTTCTCAAAAAAGTAGATTTTTTATTACCGGAAAGCGGCAAAATACTCAACACCGAAATACTTGGACAAAATCTGTATTCGAACAGCTGTACAGCACTACAATTGTATATAAAAAATAAATTATATTTCCTTTGAATTGAACGTTTCTTTTGTATATAATCGAAATGAAAGGGTTCGGTTTTATTTTTCAAGCTCGCAGAGACATGGCAACAACCTCACTTTCTAGCTATGGCATATTGTCCAAACATTGTTTTCCCGAGGTGAATATTTAGGCCATAAAATAAAAAAAATTGTCACTTTAGAATTTGGTTGATTTGACCCTTGGAATATTGACCGATCATCATCTAAACTGCCGTTCTAAGTATTTGGTCAGATCGCCTTAACGGTGTAAAATATGTGACGTTCTGCATATAATAATGGTCTCTGGAGCGATTAGAAAATCTGACAAAAATAAAGTTTTCACTTCATTACACCCCCTAAATATAATCTCAACATTACAGAATTTTTCACATAAAAGTCTTGGTCCTTTTGACCCGCTAAATAATGACTGATCTTCTTCAAAACAGTCATGCTTATTCTTTGGCCATCATGGGTCTTCTATGGCCAGAACCCATGCTACATACAAAAGTTCGCGACGATTGGTCCATAAGTGTTGTCTGTCTGGTGTTTACAAATTCTAATGGACAGACACGGAGCTAGTCGAGATATGACGATCGGTCATATATATATATGGCGAGGTCTTGTATAATATTGATGTTTAGTATTCGAAAGAATCAGTTTGGCAATATATATATATATTACCTACACGATTGGTTTAATATTGGGAAGTATATGTATGCCAACAAGAGGATTGTTTCAAATGATTCTCCTAAGGACTTAAGAGAGACATGAAAATATTACATGATCATTGATGATAAGTAAAATAGGGTTTATATTGTGACTTTAACCGTGTCTGCAATCGAATATATTATTGAAACATATCACAAGTGGGTGGTATTGGTATTAAGGGTCGAATATTAAAAATATTGGACTAAATTAGTTTCACTTTGTTTCCAAAAGTTCCAAAACCTTAAAAACGAATTTATTCTTGGAGTTGGCTACAAACGTAGGTGTCAGTCGGATACGAGCCACAAATAGCTGGTTTCCACAGCCCTGGCCTATACTAACTTTATTATTATGTCTGACTGACAATTTGTAAATCAAAACAACGACGTTTAATATTCGGAAGAGTCTGGTTGACAATATGTACACCTAGAGGATAGTTCGTCTAGGGGCTATTGACATATATAGTGATCGGGTTTTCCATAAAGGGTTACTGTCTTTCATCTTGAAAAATATTAAATTTTTCTCTATAGCCCACATAGTCGTTTATTTTTGTTTGAAGGACAATAAAAACATCTAATTCACCTAAAGGCTATTAACTTGAAAAAGTGATCGGAACACTGTCCTTCATCTGAAAAATAAATATGAAGATATTACATAGACACAGAAATTTGTTATTGTAAAGTATCTGTATCCCAACCAAAAAATCCAAATGATAGTCTCAAATAATTTCCCTAAAAGGGCTTGAACAGAGCTCAGCTGGTCTTCCCTTTGTCTTTCATCTGCAAAAATAAATATGTTATTATTACACGATCATTGATGATAAATTTAAAAATATAAAAGGGCAAGATAAGGATAGGCAAGGCAAGGAGGATAAGAATTAAACAAGGGCTACAAAATAATTTTGTGGGGAAAACTAAAAATCAAAATTTTGAAAATGTCATTAATTAATTATCAAATAATAAATCTCTTCGTCGACCACGTCGTCGTCTACCACCGTGAATATACCTACTATGTATAGTAGGTAAATACCCCAAATTCTAGTAACTTATTTTTTTGCGCAGCTTAAGTGACAAACGTTGTTGCTGTTGCTGCTGCTGGTGTTGTTGTTGCTGTTGGTCACGTTCATTGCTGCCGCTGGTGTTGGTAGCCAGCACCGACGAGCTATATTTGCCACGTGGCATATACATACCTTGACTAGTGGGTGTGGGTATACCCGATGTAGATGCCGAAGATGTAGAGGAAGCCGTTGTCGATTCTACCAAATGGCCGGAGGTAGTGTGGCGAAGATAACGGGAACGAAAACTACCACCACCGGTTAGAGTTGAAGTACTACTGGACGTTGATGATGAGCCTGTTGTTGTTGTTATGCTGGCAACAGAAGAGGTAGCAGCTGCTGAGTTGCTGTTGTTGTTGTTGGACGTTGTTTGATTGTTGTTGCTGGTTTTCCTTAATAATTTGTTGTTGTACTCATCACATTTATCCTTTTCGATGCGAGTACTACTCAAGGAACGTTTGTTGCGTTTTATGTTACTGCCGCCGCCGCCACTGGTCACACCACCACCATAAGGACTGCTGCTGCTGCATGAGGGTATGTGCGAAGAAGTTGATGTTGTGCCGGTACCCAATGAAGACCTTTGTGAATTTCGACTAAGACGATTTGTATCTAAATTGGTGAGATGGTGAGTTGGTGAGGAACAACAAGAGGTTGATGATGAGGTTAAATAGGTTATTGATTGTGGTAGGGGGATTGGTGGTGTAGGTGTTGTATTGGAAATGGTCAAGGAAATGTCATTAATGGGCGATGGGGAGGAGGAGGAAGAAATGGTTGGACCGCCGGGAGGAACATCAATGTGAATGATGGTAGAAAAATTAGATGTAGAGAAATTTGTGTTTAGTTGTGTGTTTAGAATAAAATTATTATCAAGGGGGATATTACTGTTGTTGTTGTTGCTATTGTTGTTATTACTGTTCGAATGGCTTGTGAGATTTGAATTGGTATTGTTGTTGTTGGTATTGGTATTATTATTAGTTGTGGACTTAAGGGTTTCTGCATCTGAGGAGGAATTTGAATGATTGGCCGAAACTGAGGTAGCTGTACATGAGGAAGAAGTGGAAGTGGATGATGATATTTGCGGCGATTTTCTGTTGTTATTGGGTATCTGACCAAGGCGTTCTTCTAATTTACTACAACTACTACTAATATTACTAGTGGACTGGGTGTTATTGTTGTTATTATTGTTGTTGTTGCTGCTGTTAATGTTCATATTGCTGCCGCTACTGCTGCCGATGCCCTCTTCCAGCGTGTTAACGGGATTGGAATTGAAATCCAAATTAGCTGATGATGAACGTGTTGTTAGACCACCGCCGACACCGACACCACCTGCAATGCCACTGCCACCACCACCACCACCTAGGCCACCTAAAACCTGAGGCAAAGCTGAAACATCACGATAATAACGAGCAGTGGTTATAGTACAAGGTGGCGGTTGACCACCACTCACACCACCTCCCTCATTATGGCGATGATGATAACGTAAACGTGAGCGGCCACGCAAGGTCATGTGATGCGTGGAACTACCAGCCGCACCAGTTGCGCCACTACTGTGCAACAAACTTGACAAACGATTGGAACTTCTGGATGGTGGTATTGTGGCACAAGAGCCAACCATACCTGCACCGGAGGAAACAGCTGTTCCCACAACCGGATTTAAATCTAATAAAGCTGCTGTGGCTCTGACAATGGGTATTTTACTTTCTACGCCACCACCACCACCACCACTGGACGTTGCTGAACTGATGAGGGTATTTTGATAGGTTTTTGTTTGTTTGCTGAGACTTGTTGTTGTGGTGTTGATGTTATTGTTATTATTATTGTTGTTGTTGACGGCAGTGACATTGTGGGTGATTTGTTGCTGTTCGGCTTTACGTAAATGCATTAGACCCATTCTGTATATGTATATTGAGAAGAAATTGATGTCCACCAAAATGTTGTTGCAGATTAGTAGTTAAACAAGACCACCAAAATGTTGAAATATATATTTTAGATGTTGTAGATACATTCACCATATGTAAAGATTTCGAAAATAATAAATTACAAAAGAGAAAAAGAAGAAGAAAATATTTCATGTGATTGATTTCCATTATCATTCAAAAAATGTATTTGAACAGGGAATAGTTTTGCACAATATCACAACAAAAAGGTGTATAAAGGAAGCATTTTGGATTTTGATTATAAACTATTTTGCGGAAAAGGTATTAAACGATAAACTATAACATGATTGCAAGCAAAGTTTAAATATTTGAACTCATAATTGAATAGAGTTATGTTATAATATTATAGATTAGAATTTATGAGTAGTCAAATTGTGATATATGAGGTGAATCTATATAAGGAATATCGTTGGGTGCCAAGTCGGGACCGCACGGCGGAAGAACCATCAATACCACGTTTTGGCTGCTTAAAACGGCGTTGATTTGGGCCGATATGAAAATAGAGCTCGCATCGTAATGGTGTACACAGATTCGTCTTTCTTGTTCTTTTTTCGAAAATCTACAAAAACTTCTTAAAAAATAACAAATAAAATACTAAATGTTTACAATTTAACATGTACAGACGGGCGGACATGTACAAGTGGACTTATAAAGTGATTCTATGCATATTCTCAAAAGTAACCATAGGTCTATCTCGTTCCCTTTTGCCTGTTACAAACATATGCACAAATACATAATACCCTGTACCACAGTGTGGCGAAGGGTATAATTATCTGCGGGGAAATCTGTTACGCCGCATATAAGTGAAAAAAACATGGACTAATAATTTTTATGTTCAATAGTAATTAATACACACATTTGCAAAGACCTATGTTAAATATTGAGAGCCCCAGATATTGGATGTAACGTTCGGCCGTCTTTTCAAATCGTCCGGACAAGTCACTTCAATTTGCGATACGCTGAGAGGTTTTCATTGGTGAGAAGGAAATCTTGTTGACCTCTTATAAAGCAATAGGTCGATCAGTAGTAAGCTATGCGGTGGCTGTGCGAATGCAAGTCATACACAAATAATATTCCGACCTGCCAGAACCCGGCCTTATTATTGCAACAATGTGTCTCCTCATGACACCAGGTGACCATCGGCACAATCAAATGTTGTCGAAGCAGTACCTCTGCTTGAGTCCGTCCAGGAACATGGATATTCTTAGTTACTACTGGGCACGTATTTATGGCACGTTGCACATTTCCAACTGCCAAACTAATCCTACTCTGCAACCTGTCACTAAATTCTCTTTGGACGTAACCCATACAGGTTGTAACATTCCAGAATTTGTATACATAGAAGCCAGAAACAGACAATACGTCATAAATTCCCTTATTGTATTTCTGTTACTACAAAAACAACAACTAAGACAAAGACGAAGGACTGATCCGACAAAAAACGATACATTTTTGCAACCACTTTATCTTCCTAAGAATTCTCAAGTTCATCCGGAAAGTTTACAAGAAACTTCTGGTATGGTGAACTGAGTGACTTCTTGACTAAAAAATCCTATATCTCATACGCAGATGGCTCATCTTAACTCACTACTGGAGGAGAAGACTGAAAGAAGCCCCAAAATCTGACAAAGAAAATGAAACCAAAGGTCTTCGAGTGAAACTACCACATTAGGTTATAGATCACCTAAAGTCGATTTCGGCCTAAAGAGCTTAACATCGCACGGTCAATAACCAAAAAAGTATACGTAGATCAATAACCGTGGTACATTTGTACTCATCCAAAGATTGCTCTGTAACTAATTAAAAAATTGGATTATCGTGAGGTTTTTTGTTTTAAATTAGTCTATACGGATCTGAGGTTGTCAGACCTTGGTCGGAAAGATGTTTTTTCGAGTCAATGTTGTTGTAAAAGTCAATTTTTTACAAAATGGGCTGATGTAACAGACATTGGCCGAGTAAGACTCGGTTCGTTTCGGATCATAGACCCCTCTGTCGTGGAAACGAATCCGGCACATAGGACCATTTGCTGAGAATTTTTGACTGAATTTTAAATTACTGAATTTGAAATTACTCCCAAGAAATAGAAAATTCCATCCAGTTGCTGATCATCGAAACCGGGATTCCGGGAGCAGCATATTAACACAACACGCCTTCCACACCATTTTCGTGCATATTACGAAATGACTCAATCGGAATAGGGAGTGAGAAAGAAACATTTTGTAGCTCTTTATTTATCAATACATCGAAGGATTGAAGCATAGCTGCACGTGAAATTCAATACCAAGAAGTCAAGACAGGGAGTTCCCTAAGGTAGATTTATATCTCTGGAAACTTTCTGATATTCATATCGATGCAGTTATGGAAGCAATTCAAGAATACAGTTTGAATAAAATCCACCGATAACTACCGATACAATTGATGGCATGGTGAAAAGCATTCTTTTGAAAGTTGGCAATGGTCCAATTGATACGCTACCTATCTTCAATTGACCAACCATACCCAACATTACACACATATTTATTATGGACTCAACCTACACATTTCTGTCCAGATTGGGCAGGGGAAAATGTTCATACACCAGTAAAAGTTTCTACAACAACAACAACATAAAGTATAAGAATGATGAGAAGATGTTAGGCACGTGAAGTTCTCTAACTAGATCCCCCAGTTTGTCGAAATTGAAAACTGTCATGCCTACATCAGTGACCTTTAGATGACGTCTGGAGACACAGGAAGGTATATCTTCACGTACTTTCAAATCAGCCTAAAATATAGGCAACTGTGATGTCTAATTGCGGTATTTTCTTAATATTTCCATTGTCGCACTTGAGGTACTGTTTTGTTGTTTGTTCTTCCACTGAGGTAATGGCTCTAACCGACCTTTATTCCCGTCATAATGGCCTGGATCGGCCTTTATCACCGACATAATAGGTAGCGCTCCTAAACTGCTATTATCTCCGATATAATACTCTTGGCCGATTATTTTCTCCGAAATGTTTGAAGGCCATATTCCCGATACTAACCTATTTTCTTCTTTTCCGCAAAATAGTTTATTTTATAACATTCATTAAAAACAATAACAAAAAATGGAAACAAACACACTCACAATAAATAGGATACAACAAAAATTAACAACAGAAAAAGATATATACAAGAGACACAATACAATCAAACAAAAGGAGAGGGGGAGTGGTAGAAAAATAACACTAAAAATAAGAAACAAATAGAACGAGCAACTTAACCATTAGGATAAATAAATAATACAACAGGTTTTTTTCGGGGTTGGATATTTTTTACATTGGATTGTAAATTTAAAATTTGTTTTTATTGATCATGCACAAAAATATTATAAAAAACTGTATAAAGTGAGTTATATATTAAAAAGAGGAGGGAATTACAGAATTTAGAATATAACTACAAAAATAATAATAAAAGAAAAAAAACAGGAATCGAATAGTGTGTTATGATGTTAAATTTACATAAATTTACTTATATAATTTTTTTACAAACTAATAAAAAATAAAAGAAAATATATATAGTAATTTTTTAATAATTTTACAAAATAAAGAAAATTTTTTGTTGTTTTTTTAATTTATAACAATAATTATTGTAAAAAATATATATAAAATATTTGTGCTTAATATTTTGTATTTCGTCTTTAAAAATTTGTACGTTATTATTTGTATTGTATTTTTTTTCAATTTAGCTGCTTGTTGAGGATTTGATTAAACTTGTTTTGTGGGATTTTAAAAATATTGGTGAAGGGGAGGAGGGTGGTTGGGGTAGTAGTGGTGGTGCTATTATTACAGGTATTATTTTCAACAAACACCAGATTCATCGGGATTTTAAATTTTGCATTAGACTTCGTACAAAGCTTAAGAAAGGAAAAATTTCAATTTTATGTTAAAAAATTATAGAAAAAAGGTTAACTATATAATTTTAAATATTTTTTTTTAATTTACAACAAATCTTTTAATTTTGTTAGTTAAAATCAAGCAACATTTTTTTTTCAAATAAAATATTATATTGCAATGTTATTAGTAAAATGCTAAAAAAATGAAATATTAAAACTTTGCTACAAAACTTGAAACGAAAATTAAAGCTATGGTACAGTGGACTTGATAAGATGTTTTGGTAACGACTTTATTTAAATTGTAATATTAATTGGAAAGTATTCTAAATATATGTGGCATGTGGTAAGTCTACACAGAAGGTCCATAGAAAAACTATGAAAATCCTTTGAGGCATATATTATCTGCTTCTATACGTAGAGAAAATTACCAGACAAGACTAATATATCTGCGATAATGCATCCGACGGGCCCTTATCTTCGAGATAATGCACCTGACAGGCCTTTATCTCCGAGGTAATGGACCTGACCGGCCCTTATCTCCGAGATAATGGACCTGACCGCCCCTTACCTTCGAGAGAATGACCCTGACCGGCCCTTATCTCCGAGATAATGGGCCTGACCGGCCCTTATCTCCAAGATAATGGATATGACCGGCCTTATCTCCGAGATAATGGACCTGACCGGCCCTTATCTCTGAGATAATGGACCTGACCGGCCCTTATCTCCGAGATAATGGACCTGACCGGCCATTATCTCCGAGATAATGGACCTGACCGGCCATTATCTCCGAGATAATGGACCTGACCGGCCATTATCTCCGAGATAATGGACCTGACCGGTCCTTATCATCGAGATAATGGACCAGACCGGCCTTTATCTGTGAGATAATGGACCTGACCGGTCCTTATCCTCGACATAATGGACCTGACCGGCCCTTATCTTCGAGATAATGAACCTGACCGGCTCTTATCTCCGAGATAATGGACATAACGTGTCCTTATCTTCGAGGAAATGAACCTGACCTCCGAGATATCTACATATATTGAATCCACTGCACCAACTGTTATAAGAAATTTGAATACAATTAAAATTTTATATTAAGTAACAAAAAATAGCAATTAAAATAGACGCAGAAACGCAAGAATTGGCAACATGAACAAAAACACTCGCTGAACAACAATTCTACGCAAGTAAGCCTGACCGGCCTTTATCTCTGAGATAATGGACCTGACCGGTCCTTATCATCGAGATAATGGACCTGACCGGCCCTTATCTCCGAGATAATGGACCTGAATATTAAGTAACAAAAAATAGCCATTATTAATAATGGAGACGCAGAGATAAACGACCGGCCTTTATCTGTGAGATAATGGACCTGGTCCTTAACATAATGGACCTGACCGGCCCTTATCTTCGAGATAATGAACCTGACCGGCTCTTATCTCCGAGATAATGGACATAACGTGTCCTTATCTTCGAGAAAATGAACCTGACCGGCCCTTATCTCCGAGATATCTACATATATTGAATCCACTGCACCAACTCTTATAAGAAATTTGAATACAATTAAAATTGTATATTAAGTAACAAAAAATAGCAATTAAAATAGACGCAGAAACGCAAGAATTGGCAACATGAACAAAAACACTCGCTGAACAACAATTCTACGCAAGTAAGCCAATATTGAAAAAATATTCTCAAAATTATTTATATTGCAAATACATCAATAATTAAAAAAGAAAATAGTAAAGACAAAAACAAATTATAATAATAAAAAAGAAGCTAACATACTTTGTTGTTTTCTGACTCAAACGCTTTTGGTGAGCGAAGTATTGAGGTGGAGGAGAAAGTGGTGGAGGTAAACACGTTTTACGTTAAAAACAAAACTTTTCTTGCACATGGTAGACTGGAAGACATTGAACGTTTAAAGCTTTGGCGGGTAACAATTGTTCTAGGGGTACTAGTGATATTTTTGGAGGAGGTGGTTCTAGAGGATCTAAAATAGTTGATAATTATTTGTTGATATTTTTTATGGAAAATAGGAAATACAAAAAGAAAGCAAACATAATTTTTTAAGAATAAAAGAAAACAAATAACAAAAACACAGGGAAGCGAAAAAATCTCTGTTTTCTAAAGATTTCCGTTTTGTAAACATTCGAATTTAAAATAACAACAGTTACAAAGATGTTTTTTCGTGTGTGTGTCTTTTTTGGGGGGCTTTAAAAAGTGTTGGGATTTTTTTGAGGAGGAGGTTGTTTCTGCTGAACTTACCGTTTACTATAAATGGCTAAACTGCGTGCTCTTGTTGTTATGGTCGAATTGTTAATACCCGATGCCGTTGTGGTTGTTGTTGAGGAGGTGGCTGTTGGATTAGTACCACCATTACTGCTAATAATGTTATTATTGTTGTTATTGTTATTATTGCAACTATTGTTATTATTATTAATATTGTTGTTATTATTTAATAAATTATTTGTTGCTGCAGCACATTCATTTGCGGTAGTTTTACCAGCCATGGCCGTATTTGCCAGAAGTTGTCCACCTGTTGCATTATTTGTAGGTAACATATTGACAATGTTGTTGTTATTGCGAAATGGTTGGGATCGGGCCCGTGTGTGGCGTAAAGGATTCTCCGTTTCACTGGAAGAAAAGGAAGGGTAAAAATATTTAAATAAGAGATCAATTGGAGTTCGAATGGGTGCATTATACTAAATAAAGAATACAGGGTCAGGATAATAAACTCAAAGATTCGAGTCCGAAAGGCAATTATTGGGGAGATAAATACCAGTAAGGACCATTATCTCGGAGAAAAGGGTCGATAAGGGCCATTATCTCGGAAATAAGGGCCGGTCAGGATCATTATCTCGCAGATAAGGACCGGTCAGGACCATTATCTCGGAAATGAGGACCGGTTAAGACCATTATCTCGGAGATATCTCGAAGATCAGGACCAATATCTCGGAGATAAGAGTCGATCAGGACCATTATCTCAAGATTGTGGGCGATCGCGATCATAATATCTAGAAATCTTGTGAAGTATCCAGAAATATTTTTCTAATTAAAGCAGATTTCAGACAACCAACTTACACTGTAGCACCACCCGAACGTGAATTATGCTGACGACGCATAGCCTTAATTTGATTAAGTTTATCACCCTGAGTTTGAGCATTTTTCTTTTCAATTGCAGCCTGGGTCATTTTAACTGTTGATGCTATTGTTGGTCGCTGTAGAGCAGCAGCCGGTTCATAGACGGAGGGTTTCTTTAATTTCTTTTCCGAATAAAGTGGAGCACCACTACCACCAGTAGCTGTTGCGGAAGCCCCCGTAGACGAAGAATTATTGCCGATTAATGATGTTTCATTATTATTAATGGGCGGTGTACGACGTATACTCAATATGGCAGCACCAAGTGGTGATTGACCAAATTTAGTCGCCAACGAGGATAGCGAGGCATTTGTTGTTGTTGTGGTGGTGGTGTTGGTAGTCTGTTGTTGTTGCTGCTGTTGTTGTATGCTGGGCGATTTACGTCTACGTGAAACAATAAATGTTGAATTAAGATTTGATGCCGTTGAATCCTCTTCAGTTTCGGTGACATCATTATCATTATCGCTGGCACTTGTTGGTGGTGTTATAGCACCATCTTTACTACTGGTCAGGATACGTGAACGTGGCGTTGTTTTTGCTGTAGTATTCGTAGCCGTTATATTACTCACTGCCGACGGTTTATTACCATTCTCATAGGAATCCAGGGAATCCAATTGATTTGAATCGGTTTGATCTTCATGCAAATGCATGGTATCGACCTTTTGTGATATGCCTTTGACCCGAGTCATTAGAAGTTCGGTATTATTTTCCGTATTGACAAGTAACTGGCCAGCAGTTACAGGACAATTTTTATAGATTAAACTGTAAATGCCGTATTTATGTACGGGGGTTTGTGAGCTGGTACGTTTACGCAAGCGTTCACCTTCGGACCAGAGCCAGGATTGTTTGCTGCGAGGGATAGAGGGGACAAAGAAGAGTGCGTGAATTAAGATATGTGTAAGGATAAAACATTGTATATAGTTACTCACTCTTCCATCCATTGTTGTTGATGTCCGATAACAGATCCAGGACGGCAAAGACGTAACCAAGCAATCGCTTCCAGAGCTGAGAAATTATAGTGTTTCATAATGTAGGCGCCAATCAAGCTTCCAGTGCGACCAAGACCAGCTGAAATGGAAATAATAGATTAATATTTGTCAATTTTCGGAGATAATGGCTGTCAAGATATATCGGATAAAAGGGTGGTTCAGAATGATTATCGCTAAAATTAAGACCATTATCTCGGAGAACAGGGCCGGTCAGCACCATTATCTCGGAGATAAGGGCCAGTCAGGACCATTATCTCGGAGATAAGGGCCTGTCAGAACCATTATCGCGAAGATAAGGACGGGTAAGGACCATTATCCCGAAAATAAGTTCCGTAAAGACCATTATCTCGGAAATAACGGCCGGAAAGGACAATTATCTCAGACATAAGTGCCGGACAGGACCATTATCGCGGAGATAAGGGCCGGTCAGGACCATTATCTCGAAGATAAGGATGGGTAAGGACCATTATCCCGAAAATAAGTTCCGTAAAGACCTTTATCTCGGAAATAACGGCCGGACAGGACGATTATCTCAGACATAAGGGCCCGAAAGGACTATCTCGGATATAATGGTTTTAGGGCCATTATTTCAGAGATAAAGAACAGTTAGGACCATTATTTTCGTGATAAGGCATGTCTGGACCATTATCTCGCATATAAGAACCCGTCAAGACCAATATCTGGGAGAACCGATCAGGTCCATTTTATCTAATATATGCACCGATATAATGGTCGCTATCGGTTCATAGATTAGATATTATGGACCTGATCTGTTCTTAACTCCGTAATATAAGCCTTGACTGGGTCTTATCTCCGAGATAATGCGTTAAGGATCAATATATCGAGAAACATCTAATTTTTTAAATTCCCAACCTAACTCCTTACCTTTACAATGCACTGCAATGGCACCCTTTGTCGTTTCACATATCTGCAAGAATTTCTTCAATATCAAATCACTCGGCGTACTGCCATCAATAAAAAACAGATCCTTATGATCGAAACCGGCATTCTCAAAACTGGAGGCATGATACACCTTGGCATTCAGTCGTATTATTGTTGTTACATTATTACTGCGAAAATATTCGAAATATGTTTCGGGCGAATGGCAAGGATAACCGTTTGGCAGTGTTTTAGATTTTTGATGTGGTCCACAAAATGCTATAAATTTCTGTGGTACAATCCAATTGAAATCACCGTTTTCAACACGTTCATAATATTCATATTCTTCGGCGTCGAAATCTTCAAAATTAAAGAATCCCGCTTTCATGGCCTTCGAAACAGCGTTGAGGCAATCGATAAGGGAGATTTTATAACCACTTGGACCGTACGAGGCATCACAGAATCGAGTATAGGCGGGTATATCGCCTACAACTAGAGGGCGGTAGGCTTCTTCGGGGGTTTTGTTTAGATAGATTATCTGCAGGAGGAAGAAAAGGGGAAATTAATTCGATATTCAAAATATTGAAATTTGAATTTGTATCTTACCGAAAATGCTCCTATCAGATATGCAGCATTTACCCTCTTTGCCGGATTCATGGACGTATAGTGTACAATTTTCTTACTCGCCAGCGTTTTGTTGCTCAATTTGGCATTTAGCTTCTGACAATAGCGATACAGCATACATATATTCAGCGGCCCAAAATCATTGTAAAAATTCTCATAGATAAAATCATCATCGATGCTGAAGTAATGTGTGCTGGGTGTATTTTTCGGCTTGAAATTCTTTTTGAACGCCACAAAATATAAACGATCTGAAAATAACAGAGAATACGAAAAATATTAGAAATTATTTTTTCAAGCGTCTATAGAATTCGTGTATGTTTAAAGGACCTATAGAAGGCGTGGATTTTTTTAAAGAATATTTTTGAAAAGGCCTTAGACAAGGCGTGGATTTTTTAAAGAATATTTTTGAAAAGGCCTTAGGCAAGGCGTGGATTTTTTAAAGAATATTTTTGAAAAGGCCTTAGGCAAGGCGTGGATTTTTTAAAGAATATTTTTGAAAGGGCTTAGACAAGGCGTTGATTTTTTTAAAGAATATTTTTGAAAAGGCCTTAGACAAGGCGTGGATTTTTTTAAAGAATATTTTTGAAAAGGCCTTAGACAAGGCGTGGATTTTTTAAAGAATATTTTTGAAAAGGCCTTAGACAAGGCGTGGATTTTTTAAAGAATATTTTTGAAAAGGCCTTAGACAAGGCGTGGATTTTTTAAAGAATATTTTTGAAAAGACCATAGGCAAGGCGTGGATTTTTTAAAGAATATTTTTGAAAAGACCATAGGCAAGGCGTGGATTTTTTAAAGAATCTTTTTCAAGGCCTTCTATAAGGCCTGAATTTTTAACGAATATTTTTCAAGACCTTCTATAAGGCCTGAATTTTTAAAGAATCTTTTTCAAGGCCTTCTATAAGGCCTGAATTTTTAAAGAATCTTTTTCAAGGCCTTCTATAAGGCCTGGATTTTTAAAGAATCTTTTTCAAAGCCTTCTATAAGGCCTGAATTTTTAAAGAATATTTTTCAAGGCCTTCTATAAGGCCTGGATTTTTAAAGAATCTTTTTCAAAGCCTTCTATAAGGCCTGAATTTTTAAAGAATCTTTTTCAAGGCCTTCTGTAAGACCTGCTTCTATAAGGCGTGGATTTTTAAAGAATATTTTTCCGACGCTTGGATTTTTTAAAAAATATTTTTCCAAGGCTTGGATTTTTTAAAGAATACTTTTTCAAGGCCTTCTATAAGGCCTGGATTTTTAAAGAATCTTTTTCAAGGCCTTTGATAAGGCCTGAATTTTTAAAAAATATTTTTTTTCAAGGCCTATTTATTAACTGATTAATCTAGCCTGCAAAATTTGTCTCACAATTAAAATTTTATTATGACAGTTAGTCGGCAAGTGTGAATGCCATGCATGCAACAAAACAACAACAATTATTCTCATGCATTTCATTCATTCATTTATTCCCTTAGGCGAACCAACCGAAAAAATACAAAACACAAAGACAGTCCAAAAATAAAGAAACGGCATTGGAGGAGAAGACCGAGAATGTGTGGGGAGAGTGGGAGATGGAATTTCAGTTAAACTGATTGCAAAATTTCAACACTGCAACTTTTCAAAAAAAAATAAAGTTAACAAAAATAAATGTGAATACATTATACGAATTGTAGTCGTATGTATAACCAAAGAAATAATAAAAAATAAAAGGCAGCAAACAAAGCACCATCACCAGTCAAATTCGCCCAAAAGAGTTATTTTTTGTGGTATACTTTTAGGGTGGGATGGTACATTTTTAACGCAGTCATTATTATTATTATTTTCGGTAGAAGTAGATTTACTAACGAAGACTAAGAAGAAATGCATGCAGATGGTTGGTTTGGTGTGTAAATATGTATATAAATAAAAATGTATGACCTTTGTCCATGACTGCAAGTAGTCAGGCAATCAGTTAGTTGGTTGGTTTGTTGTATTGCGTGACTAAATGACTGACTGATTTTTAATAATTTAAAACAATAGTTTACTTATCAGAAATAAGAAACTTTGGTAGTTATATTTTGTTTTTTTAAGTAAATAAATTATATGGCCAAAAGGTGGTAAAAGATAAAGGGGAATTGCTAAAAGAAGGCATTTTTCTTTAGTATTTCTTAAGAAATTTGAGATAAACACACATGTTGGAAATGCTATATTAGATTTTAAGGCATACTTTTAGGCTACAAAACAGTTGAAAACTCAAAGTTAAATTATGCACTATATAATTGGATTTTCATATGGTACAAAATTTATATATTTTTTAAATATTAATGTGGAGAATTTAAATTGCCATTATCACAAAATCTGAGGAAATTTTAGATAAACATACGGTAGAGAATGTATTTTCGAAATTTAAGGTATACTTTTAGGCTACAAAACATCTGATATATTTAATATAAGTATTTAAGTAACAAGATGTGTAGTGAAAATTTGTTTTAAGCATTGCAGCATTCGTGGATTTTTAAAAGAAGGTCTTCTATAAGGCTTAAAAATTATTTCCAAGGTCCTAGACCAGGCGTGGATATTTAAAGAATATTTTTCCAAGGCCTTCTATAAGACGTGGATTTTTAAAGAAAGAATATTATACAAGGCCTTAGACAAGTCGTGGATTTTAAAAAAAAATTAGACAAGTCCTTAGACAAGTCGTGGATTTTAAAGAATATTAGACAAGTCCTTAGACAAGGCGTGGATTTTAAGGAATATTCTTCCAAGGTCTTGAATTTTTCGGACTAAATGTGAAATCGTTTTAAGTACTTAAAGTGACGCATTTGCGGATTTTTAGGCTAATGTTTATAATTGTGGCTTATTATGAGATAAACATGGATTTTTAAATGAATTATGTCAAGGGCATAAGCGTGGATTTTTAATGAGATTATTCGACGAACTTGAAAAGCGAAAATAGTGAGATTTTTTTCGGGAATTTTTCAAACGCCTTGAAATGTCATGGGTGTGGATTTCTTTGAAAGAATTATCGAAAGGACTTTTACTGCCCCGATTGTGAATTTTATTAAGGAATTGTGCGCAGGATTTGATGTGTCATGAGTACGGATTTTATGGAATTTTGTATGGATATGGGGGTATTTTAAAGATTTTTCTGAAGGATTATAAGTGAAACAAGCATGGATGTTGTAAGCAAATTTTTGTAGGACATTTTGAAGTGTCAAAAGTGCGTTTTTTTGTGAGGATATGAAGTGCGGATTTAACGCAATTTCCCAAGGTCATTATGAGGATGTTATTTGAAATTTTTTTTCGCAATTTTTCAAAAGACTTGATGAGCCATAAGCCATAATTTGTTTAAGGTCCTGCATTTTAAGAAAGTTTTCGAATTATATTTTTTTGTCAGGCTTGATAGTTTATGAAGTTTTTAGAAGTGAATTTTAAATGAATTTTTCGAAGGACATGAAGAGCAATAGTGTGATAAGTCTCTATTTTTTATGAAACTTTTCGAAGGACTTGTAGCGCCATAAGAGTGTTTTTTTTTTTAAGAAAATTTCAGAAGTGCATTTTAAGAGAATTTTTTTCGAAGGACTTGAAGTATTACAAGTGCGGATATTTTATAGATTTTTTTTCGCCAAACTTGAAATGTCATAAACGTGGTTTGTTTACGAATTTTTCAGAAGTACATCTTAAATGAATTTTTCGAAGGACTTGAAGTGAAAAAGCGTGATTTTGTTAAGGAAATTATTTGAAGTACTTTAAGTGTCAAAAGCGTCTTTTTTAAGAAACATTCAAGAGGATTGAAGAACCATAACAGAAGTTTATTTAAGGAATTTTCAGAGGTGAATTTTAAGGAATTTTTCGAAATACTTAAAGTACCTTTAAATTGGATATTTTTCTGGGAGCTTAAAGGGCCATAATCGTGGATTGTTTGCGAAATTTTCTGAAGTGAATTTTAAGGTAATTTTTTGAAAACCTTAAAGTGCTATAGTCGTAGAGGGAATTTTTCGAAGGACTTGAAGTGAAATAAGTGTGGGTTTATTAAGGATTTTTTGAGTATTTGAAATGTCACTAGCCTCTATATTAAAAAAAAAACTTTTCGAAGGACTTAAAGAACCATAAGCGTGCATTTTTTCGAGGAGCTTAACACGTTGGCTATTTTTATTATTTTTAATTATTAATATCCCAAATTTCGGTATTTTAAGTAATTTAGACATGTTTTTCAGACATTACGCACCATTTCCGGAAGTTCAAGGTTCTAACACAATAATCCAACCTGAGTGTCTTAAGTTTAATGTTTCGTTTTCTCCGGGTATTAATTTTTCAACTTATGCAGGAGAGTATAAAACGCTCGGCCCATCCGAATTTAACGACGTTTTTACTTCTTTATTTTTTTTTTTTAAAGGAATTTCGGTGCAGGACAATTTTTTTTAAGTGAAGAAATATTTTAATTTTCCACCATAATAAGCGTGAGTTTTTAAAGGACTATCACAGCCATAGGCTTGGATTTTTTAAATAACATTTTTCAAGGACTATCCGAGCAAGGAGCGTGTAGTTTTTAAAGGACTATCCGATCCAGAAGCTTGGATTTTTAAAGTTAAACTATTTAAGGACTACAAGCGTTGATTAAAATATAAAAATATTATTCAAGGACTATCAAAGCTGCAAGAGTCGATTGTTTTTTAAATATTATTCAGGGACTGTCGGAGCTACAGACGTGGATTTTTAAATAACATTTCTAAAAGACTCGGAAGCATGGATTTTTTAAATAATATTTTTAAAGGACTCTTGAGCAACAAACGTGGATTTTTAAAGGAATATTTTTCAAGGACCAAGCAAAGCGTGGATTTTAAAGGAATATTTTTCAAGGACTACTCCAGCTACAAGCATGAATTTTTAAAGGAATACTTTTCAAGGACAACAAGTTTTGATTTTCTATGGAACATTTGGACTATTTCAGGAACAAGCGCGGATTTTTTCAAAAGAATATTTATCAAGGACTAATGCAGCTACAAGTCAGAATTTTTAAAGAAATATTCAGCTAAAAGCGTGAATATATTAAAGGAATATTTCGCAAGAACAATTTCAACTACAAGGGTGGATTTTTAAAGGAATATTTTTCAAGTACTATCGGCTACAAACGTGGATTTTTTAAAGGAATATTTTCAAGGGCTATTTCGGCTGCAAACGTGGTTTTTTTAAAGGAATTTTTTCAAGGACTATCCGGGCAAGAAGCGTGTTTTTTTTTAAATATTATTTTTAAAGGACTATCGGAGAAGCAAGCGTAGATTTTTTAAAGGAA